GCATATATACATGGTGAAGTGCAGACTACACGATACACATAGATTGTTATGTGGTTGTATGGCGGTGGGGTAGCCTAGTGGTTAAAGTGCTCGCTCATCGCGCTGAAGTCACGGATTCGATTCCAGTTGTAGCTCATGATGTGGACATATTGCTTGTGGGATTATAGTGTGATCGCCCTCTCTTTATATTGTGAAGAGTCTTTATATTGTGAAGTTCGCCGCGATATTGTTTTTAGGTTTGTGAGCACCAAACGCGCGCGGGTGGATTTCAAGAAAAACGTTAATGTCTAAGACATATCAAGTTGACACGCCCTGATATAACTGGAACACTTTTTGAATTTTTAAATCGACGTTAAGCTCACTCACTCACTCACTTCTGATTCTGATACTGAATAACGTATTTCTTGCCACCGCTTGTGTAGGTGTGAAGGGAGGGTTTTTTTTATAGAAAACGTTTTTCCTTGTGAAATTTAACTTGGATAAGAAAATTAGAAATGAATAATCTTACTCAAAAAAGTGGGTGAGTGAGTGAGGTTTTACGCCGCTTTTAGCAATTTTCCAGCAATATCACGGCGGGGGATACCAGAAATGGGCTTCACACATTGTACCCATGTCGGGAATCGAACCCGGGTCTTCGGCGTGACGAACTAACGCTTTAACCACTAGGCTACCCGACCGCCCCTGCATAAAAAAGTAAGTACATATGTATTGCCTGACTCCGAATAGGAGTGCTCAAACCAGACAATCAAGTGATCTGTAAACCAAAAAATAGTGACACGGTAGTGACTTTACTAATTTTGTTGACACGAGATGCACACAGACAACACGTGAGTCACACGGTATAAATTACGGGAGCGCTTGCTGCAAGTGCACCTTATATACAATGACAGTTGCAAGGCGGGGGGGGGGGGGGGGGGGGGGGGGGGGGGGCGGGCAAATAAGATTATTCATTTCTAATTCAACTTAACTTTCCCAAGGAAAAATGTTTACTATAACCCCCCCCCCCCCCCGGGGGCTGGCTACGGCACTGGGTTGTCTGGCAAGAGCGTTCTTGTTTGTACAAGAATAGGCAATCGGCGAAGCACTGTTCTACTATATATAATATTCAGCCTGTAACCAGTCCAATATGGACCCAACAGTGGTCGATCAATCCCATTACTCGCGTAAAAACCCCCATTTAATATGGATGACCAACGATTTACAAATCCTCGATTATCCAGTGTATCTATATCCTTGTCTCATTCACCACCACATATTCGTTTCGAAAATGACGTCAAAATGTCCATCTATCCTATATCTAATATAGCACAGAATTTCCCTCGCTCATGACAGTAATTTGATTGGACGTCTATTTTTAGTGTCATTCGAATCGGGCTCAAACGAAGCTGCGGTTGCGAATTGGTACTGGGTATTTGTCATAATAACATGAAGATATGATACACTGGACAATCGATGATGTTAAAAGCGTTGGGTAGGGAATTTGGGTCAACCGGTAACCACACATGCCCTAGGAGAGAATTACACCACTGCTACAAGCTAATTTGCATATCACGTGACAGGACTTTTCTCTTCTTTGTGAACAAACGCGCTAATTCTGAAATCAGAGCAGACTGGCCTAATGGAAGCTTTTCGGTGCATTTTAATATGGCTTGCAAACGCATAATCAACTTTAACCGAAAGTTAGAATAATTGTGTTTGAGTCCAACTCCTAGCACAACGAACAAGATTCGAACCCATACGACGACGTTGTGTTTGATTATCTCATGCCTAAATACCCAGAACAACAGATGTTTGTGGCCATTTCCCCAAATAATACAAAGAAATCGAATATGCGTTTTCATGGTGTTTAGACGACAGCACGTGGAGCTGTATGAACTGTGTAAACGAAGGGTAAATTCGCAAATGGAACTTATTGTTAACGTCAAAGGATATTTTCAATGACATTTAGCTATTTTATAAACAAATGTATGTAACTGTGTAGACATTTAATTTTAAAAATAAAATAGATGAAAAACGTGCGTAATATGTTGAATGGACTGGGTGAGATGTGACGGAGGTGGTGGTGGTGGTGGGTAGACCGCAAGATATAGGAGATGGGATACAGGAGGCGCTGCTCGGGCTACAAAAAGCAAGGGGAGACAATTGGGAGCCCCGTATGGAATATACAAAGTAGCAACCTATGCCTATGCCTGAACCGACCGAGCTCCATCCCATAGTTGATTGTATGTACCTGTACCTGAGCCTCGAGGGACGTTCCTCGTGATATCCATCAATGGTTTGTCTGGTCCAGATTCTTTTATGTACAGGCCGCCCGTGATATCGCCGAAACATTGCCAGCTGCGGAGTTCAACAACAAACACAAAAATGGGGGAAAATCATACGGAAGGCAGATATGATTATAGTCTGTTATGAATAGATGGACAATTATGAACGTGTTATGATGAAAACATGTGTTAGAGGGATAAACGTATTTTCTTCATTTTATTACTCCGATTGAAACTACCGATAGCCCGTCGTGCTGTTTGAACACGTAATGGACATCGGTCATTTTCTCACCTTACATTAAAACAATATCTTCTGATTGGTTAAGGGGCGGGCAGGCATTTCCATGTAGCCCACTGAGAAATCAATCGGAGCATATCGTGGGTAACTTGCATATCTCGAATAAATAGCGTTGAGTTGAAAAGATGTTTATCTGAGTGCATTGGGTAAAGGGAAGTAACTCAGTTCGTTTGCGTCGTCTGCTACCTGTCCTCATGGCTGAACCAGAGCCTTTTATTCAATGAAGTTTTTGACATATATTCCGGGGCTGTATGAATTAATGTCGGTGAGATAAATTCGTGGTCGACCGATCCCTCGGGGCATGTGATGTGACGTACACTGTGTGTGAGCCTTATGCACCATATAACCCCCGAGGGGGGCACGGGTGGCCCAGTCGTCTAAGGCGCCGCGATTCGCTGTGCAGAGTTGCGTCCCCTTGACACGCCAGAAACCTATGATTGTGGGTTCGAATCCCGGTTCGCCCCGATTATGTTTCTAGGTTTGTCATCACCATACCCGTGCTCGTGGGTTTCACCGAAGTGGTAAACGTCTGAGACCTGCATCACTTCGGGCTTTCCTCCCACATTAAGCTGACACGCCGCGATATAACTGGAATATTGTTAAAAGCGGCGTTAAACCCAACTCACTCACTAACTCACTATAACCCCCGAGATCGGTTGACAACTTCTAATGTACACCTACATATAGCAGCCCTTAACAAGACATCGATAAATGTGCGAATTCTGGGAAAGAATATAAGTCCCCTGCATTTATAGGTACCGTATGTCATAAGAGGCGACCAACTTGATCGGGTGGTCAGGCTCTGTGACTTGGTTGATGACGTGGATCGTTGCTCATGACATCAATCACTGCATCGTTTGGACTTGATTATTTACAGGACGTTGTCATGTAGCTGGAATATTGGCGACTGTGGTGTTAAACAACGAACAATAATGATGAGATTTGCCATTTGGCTCCGATGTTACAAGGAACCGTTCTCGAGTGTTTCAGTAGCAACATTCATAGAGGTAATATTCATATCTGCCATCTCATGTGAAAATAATGGCTGCAAACGTCGAGGTGCACTATTTCAACACTGTAATTTGTCGAGAAAAATGATAGCGCTTATTGTACTATGATTAATAGTTTAGTGTGGAAGAACCTTTTAAATGACTGAAGCGGTGGTAAAATATTGCTAAGTCTAATAGCAAAACTTACGAAAGTTGACGATCTGATTCATCTTCCGTCGAACTTTCATATATTTCTAACTATTAGAGATACATTTGTGTATAGACCCAGGACAACGCCACACCAAATTGGCATCTGCAAAGAGCAAAGTAAAACACTCTTCGGAGTCTTCGCCGTTTTTTAACTGAAACGTGGAAGCCGTTGATTTGTCTCCAGACCTGTCTCTATCGATCGGTCCCGAAATTTAAACTTGGACCTGTAATAAGTATGTGATTTGAAACTGTCAAAGTTGTTCTCAAACATAATTTCAAGTAGATGACATAGGTATCTTTACCCCGATTCATCAAACAAACGAGCAATGAATGCCTCGTGTTTGACGCGTAAGAACAATGCACATTGTTTGACGTCAGATTTTTTTAAATGACGTCATCCGTTAGTTTGTGACGTCATCCCATAGATGTTGCAGGTGCTTGCCAACTGAATATATTGTGTTGGGGATTTGCTTTACACTAAACTTGCTAAAAGCATTACTAATAATTTGGGTTTTGTTTGTTTTTAACGCCGCACGCAGCAATATTCCAGCTACATGACAGCGATCTGTAAATAATCGAGTCTGGACCAGACAATCCAGTAATTGATACCATGAGCATCGATGCACGCAATTGCGATACGATGACGAGCCAGATCATGACCACCCGATTCCGTTAGTCGTATTTTACGATAAGCATGGGTTGCTGAGGACAAAATATAGGGTTAAATGAATGCATAGTGGATATCGTGTGCAAAACCATTCATCAATTGGTTATATGTAATAATATAAGTAATAATAATATACGTGACGTCATCATACTGCCTATGCATACTCGTCTGGATATATACACTTGATACTGAATTGTTTGAATTTTATTCAAATTTAACTCACATGATATAAGGTATTTCCTTTTTAGGGATATTTTCTGTATTAATTTTGCTTGTAGGTCGTTATTCAACGTAGATGTAGACTATGCAAATACATGAAACAAGATTGGATGATTTGGGGCACATTTTACATAGGCCTCAAAACTGAAAGATCCAATCTTGCATGAATCAATTTAACTTTAATCTGTTTATCGACATACTATCAAGTAAAAACCAATGGGAACATTATGCGTCTGTTACAATATCGATGTTAAATAACTTTATATACATATTTACACGAAGAATGGGAAGTGCACATAATAACAGCGTGAGCCGGTATGAGTCAGGAAGACAGCCCAACTCTCGTCTGATCAACGTCCCAGCATGCATTGCGCCGCACTCTCAGCTGAGTGTATACGCCAAATATATCTTGATATGTGTGTTTCCTCCTCGAATTGACGGATTATTAACAGAGTAGCATCATTGCAATTGACTGTAGTCGAGATATGTGTAGTTGATTGTTTGTTTCTAGGAACTTTCCGGTGCGTGGAGCCATATTCTGAGGGATATACCGCTCGAGACAGGGAGGAAACCGTGTTCTCATGCTGATTGAGAGTCCAAAATGGCGACCACATCGTCAGTAAATGTCAGTTTGGACGACATAGATCTTACCAGTTTACGGGTATGTGTCAATTCTGATTTAATCCATACTAGTCTATATTTATTCTGAACCACGCATCTAACAAACCATGGGGTCAAATATGAATTAACTTGATTTGATACCGCCCAGACAGAAATGTTTTGCCATCATTTTCGTACATCGTGCATCTCTCCTAGTCAAAACAAAGAATAAATAGGGATTGGTTCAAGTCACTCATGGCGATGTTGGTGTTTAAAAGTGTGGAATTTTGTTGAAGATGAACTATTCCATCAATTGTATTGTTTCAGGAACCTGCGGGGATATTTGATTTGATTGAAGTGGTTGGAAACGGTACTTATGGCCAAGTTTACAAGGTAAGATGTCAAATGCATGCAACTCATGTCAAAGGTCAGCTGTCATAAGCGTTGAAAGTGTTGTGCGACGACATCTTAAGGAACACTCCTTGTTTTAGGTTGTTTACTAGTCCTTTTTGACTCAGTGAACTTTTAAATGTCAATATGATCACGATAAGATCTTGTTAACATTATTTAAAGGGCCTGGTGGTGCATGGAGCCTAGACAGATGTAGGCCTTAAATCATCTCTCGAGTTTTGAATATTTACTGGGCCCAAAATGATAAAGTCTAAGTAAAAATCATTTTGTACATAGTTCAAAGCACATAGGACAGTACTATTCTGTCAGTATGTTGCTAGGTAATTCCTTATGGTTGTCATGGATTTGAAGCTGAACTTGCCCTGAGGCTAGGACAGGTAACTTTTCAACATGACTGAAAATGGAGTTAAACATTCACTTGGTCACTACTTGAGTAAGGAGTTAATTTTCTGAATTTATGATTGAGCTTTGCTCGTTGCTGAATTTGCAGTGAGCATACACTTGATAAGATCCAAGTAGTGTGTCATTGATAACAAATGTCAGTGAAATGAAATTTTAGCCATTTCTCAGTTGTCTTAAAGTCTGACAGTCCAGATAGTTGTATATTGCATGTTGATTGCAGAGGATTGAATTGACTCAATTATTTGTTTATTTCATGGTTGAGGTAACACTGTATCTGTCACAGATACACCATATAGTTTGTTGCATATTGATTACAGATAATTGAATGAACTTCGATGTTGATTGAATTCCACCAGTTTCAATGTTTTTACAAGGATAAGGAATTTTCTTTTTCCTGTTTTTCAAATCCAGAGTAAATAATGCCACAGTTGCACAACCATTGCTACAGGTTCCCAGAGCTTAGGATATCTTGATAATAACACCATTGTTAAAACAGCAAAGAGCAGTATGTGTTCATTATTATACACATCATGGCACATATATATATAGGTCTGAGACAATGATATACAAGGCAAGACAATAATTCAAGGTTCCTGTATTAGAGTGCTGTGGCACAGTTATTATTGCAGTGACACCACAGAAATCATTTCCTGGTGCCTAAAGGGCACACTTAGAAATAACCTTTTTGCAAGAAAGATTTTTTATGGCATTGTTTATTTGTAACAAGTGATAACTGTACTTTTGAACAATCACATGGAAATCGATGACTTAATGCTTAATGCACTGTATCATTCACACAATAAACCTGGCGATTAATAAGTTGATTATATATTGACAGTTACTACAGTAACTGTCTTAGTTACAGCTGCTTATTTAACTTGAACATGGGCCAAAAAGTGTTTCTTCTTGTTGGAGCACTTTAATTCTAAAAGAACACATCTGAACACCTTAAGGAGTGCCCCTTGGCGAAGTTGAAAAAATACATTTCTGTCCCTAACAATGATACTATTTCAACCAAATTCAGTGCTGCATTGTTTATTTTGAGCATTGAATGTTTTTGGCAAGAAATAAAGTTACAAATTCCATGTTTGGGATGACTCAAGCATCAGTTTGTACCACCGCTGTATCACATTGTTGAAATTATCTATGATAATAGATATAATTTTGTTAATTGATTTTAAGTAATATATGTTACTGGGTTCATTTCAATAACACACTTTTGATTTAATTTACATTACTTTTTGTATAATATCAGATTAAGTCTGTATCATGTGTATGTATCAAGTCCATATTTAATATCATATGTCAAATCTAATTTTATTTCATATTGGGCACAGTGGTGTATGATCATGATGATTTCAGTTTCTATGTAAGGTGTTTCATGTTTATCCCCATAAGATTTAAATTACATGATTTATCTCATTCAAGGTAGATCCTGAGTTCTAATCTTAGTCATACATTGCCAAGCATGAATTTGAGAATGAAATTGGAATATATTAAACAAAAATGTCAAAGAAAACTTTTAAAAAAAGTATGAGAATCTGTACTTGACTAAGAAAGTGTTATCCCAAATATAACATTTGTCAAAAATGTTAAAATATATTTATTATTGAAAACCTTGATATTGCATTTTTTTAACATAGGCTTAAGCATGTTAAGTGGACATGCTAAAAACCATAGCAACATCAAATTCAATAATTAAGATAAGTCTGGTAGTGCTCTCGAAATTTAAAAGTAAACAAATCATATACAATGATAAAGTTTATGTTTAAACCTTTTTAAATATTTTCATTTAGAGAGAAATGTGCACAACAGTCCAAATATTTACATGATTTAGTAATAAGTCGTTTATTGATGGTCTCGATTAGAGGATAACACAAATCCAACACACTTTTTATTATTGACTATCTAAATCAGGCTGCAGTGAACTTAAAGGGTAATTTTCTTTATCAAACCCCCATGCATGATGGATAGAAGCTTTTGTTGATTTTATTTGAAAAAAATAATATTCTAAACAGTGAATGGTGAAAAAAATCTACATTTAGGTCAGTTCAGGCTAGAATAACATGTGCAACGAGAGTTTAGCATTTGCTTGTGCTCCGAAGTCTTTGGAAGTAATTTGAGTTAGCTATTTGTGTATAAGTTACCACAGGTGTGGAACCTAACTTGAACAATGTCTCACATGGTACATATGTGCCGTTATAAGTCTACACTGACCCCGGAAAATGTCGGGACTGTTGAAAGGTGTGCTTGACTATTGCATGTGTATTATATTTGTTGTTGTTGCTTGAATGTCAAGTTTTGTATTGCATTTCCACATGAATGGTATATACACCAGTATTACACGTCTCTGTGGAATATACATTCAGATGTTGATGTACTATAGTTAAACACGCCTGACAGGTTTTCGGAAATATATATAGGTGTACGTTTCATTGTAGACATGTCAATCAGTCCTAGGTGAATTGTTATGATTTATCGTCTATATCACTAAAAGGATTATACAAATGTTAAATGTGTGGTGATAAAAAGTAAATCTATTTGTCCTTTGTCTCCTGTTATATGCACTGGGCTACAGTGCTTGGAAAGAAATGAATATATGCTTACAATTTACATGACAGCATCCGGTGAAGATCTGGGGTAGAATAGGTCTTCAGCAACCCATGCTTTCCATAAAAGGCGACTATGCTTGTCGTAAGAGGCGACTAATGAGATTGGGTGGTCAGGCTCGCTTACTTGGTTGATGTATGTCATCAATCCCAATTGCGTGGATCGATGCTCATGATATTAATCACTGGATTGTCTTGTCCAGACTTGATTATTTACAGACCGCCCGTCATAGAGCTGGAATATTGCTGAGTGTGGCGTTAAAGAACAAACATTTTAATCGATGTAGAAATTGAGCCATCAACAAGTTTGCTAATACTACCAAGAAAACCGAACACTTGGCCTTTATTGGGTTAGCGATTAATGTATTAGCAACAACCATATGTCCTTGGTTTTAGGATTTTTTATGTCAGACATTTTTGGACAAGTAGATTTCAGGCAAGAATAGGTCTTCCATAATTCCTTAGAATTTTAAATTATTTGTAAACTGGTCCAGAGGATAAGTGTAAACTTTGTTTCCCATGTCCTCAGAGTTTGTAGCTAGTCCTGCTTGTACAAAACAAAATGTTTACTGTTTACATTTTCTGTCAGTTTTAATCATTTCCAATTTGTAGCAAATCTGAAGCATTGAGAATTGGTTCAGAATTATAGACCAGGGCCGCGTTCCACAAAGCGATCTTAGCGCTAAGTCTGTCGTAAGTCTATGTTAAAGTATGGGAGTTACGATCATCTTAGCGCTATGATCGCTTTGTGGAACAGGGCCCTGGCTGCAAATGCTACTAGTACATGAAGACTGCCCTCATTCGATTCTTACTTTTCCTCAGCACAATTTAGTAGTCTCGTGCAAGCGAACTAGAGTGAATTTAGCGAAGTAGTGAGAATTTAGCGAAGTAGTGAGAATTTTGAAGGTTGCTCATGCTTTTCATAAGTCTTGGGATTGGGTTGTCATGGTGGTTACATGTTACACGTGATCTGGCGGATTGTGTGTCATTGTACACCAGGAGTTTGGACCTTTGCTCATGAGATCAATGACCTCTGTCTGACTCAAAATTGTGTACAGGTTGCTGTGATGTATCTGGAATATTGTTGGTTGTACTGTTGAGTAACTTTCATTAATGATCTGTGAGGAAGAATTCAGCAGTACATGTATGTACTGGATTATCATGTTTGGTTTTGTGCTTGTTACATGTTGTTTTGAGGCGAATTCCAATACATATAAGATAGGCCTGAGTGATAATACTCATATCGTGATACATATCATGACTTCCTGTATCGTAGCTCATCTAACGATGCCTTGCTAGATGCAGCCAGTTCAGCGCTGCAGGGTATTCAAATCAAGGGTGATTAATCCTGCTGAGAAGAACCAGGAAACATTTTTTGTTGCTTTCCCATTTTTTTTCTCCAGAAAGTCGATGAAATTTGACATATATGAAACCCCAGCGCGTGTATTTTTTGAGTATAATATTTCTTTCAATTTCAATACAATGGTTATGTATTTAAAAATATGTGACCAGGAACAAAACCGTTCAAAGTGAGTGGTTTTGGAAGATATCCAGTGATAGGAGTGTGTATTTCTTGTGTAAGCGTGCCTGCAGGCACTCATAAAGATGTGCCCTTTGCAAGTTAAATGTGTCAACAAGAAGAATGCTTTTGATCCATCCAACTTAGAGAATGTCATTTCACCATGACCTAGTTGATAATCATTTATTAACATAGTTGCCCCATTTTGTTCCTTTGAGATTAATAATACTGTGATCAACTTTTGTATCCGCCGATGTATTTTGTGAATTCATACTGTGCATAAAGCTGGTCCATATGGTTTCCGACCCGTGAAGAGCTGGGGTAGAATAGCTCTTCAGTAACCCATGCTTGCCGTAAAAGGCGACTATGCTTGTCATAAAAGCAACTAACGGGATCGGGTTGTCAGGCTCTCTGCCTTGGTTGATGCATGTCATCGTATCCCAATTGCGTGG